GCTGGGGCTTTCGTATGCACTTTGTACTTGGAACCATAGAACGGTCTTTGATAGTGGCTTAGTCTTGGGACATTCCTGTTTCTAGGAACATTATACCTATTACCAATGCTATTCTGTATTTGCAATGCTGAGGTTGTCTTTCTGATTTTATAACTAGAACCATAGAATGATCTCTGGTTAACGTTGATTTTCGGTCGGTTCCAATTTCGAGGAATGTTATTCCTGTAACCAGTATCGCTCTGGAGTCGCACTGCCGTTGTTGCCGTTTGCACTCCGTGTCTGGGCCCATAATATGTTCTTTGGTAAACATTTGATTTTGCCGTGTTCCAGTTTTGAGGAATATTATGCCTATTTCCATAACTATTCTTGGGTTGTACTAACTTCGCTGGCGTTTGTAGTTCTTGTCTGGGGCCATAAAAGGGTCTTGGATAAAGATTTGATTTTGGCGTGTTCCAGTTTTGAGGAATATTTGGTCCGTTTCCAATGTCATTCTGGAGTCGTTCTGCCGCGGCTGAAGTTTGCGTCTCATATTTGGGGCCATAAAATGACCTTTGATAGATATTTGTTTTTGGCGCATGCCAAGGTAGAGGAGCAGGACCCCAATTCTCGCCATTACTTTGGACTTGCCCTACTAAGGTCGCCAACAACCAAAGGCCCAAAATCAGCCACAAATTTGACAACAAACAAGTCAGCTTCATATTTACAAGATTCCCACTTAGTTAGCAGACATTATAGTGCCGACATTTGCGATTTATCATGATCTCTTTGTGGTTTACAGGAGAACTACACAACCATGACCTCATCCGGTTGTGTGCTGGAGGGCGTGGCTAAAAGAGGTGTAATTTATGCACCACCTGAGTGAAGGAACCACTGGACGTCCCACATATGTCAAAGTTTGCTTGTATTACGCGATTAGCTTATAATATCGCAGCTTTCATACGCAAACGATTATTGAAAGAAAAAAACACTGGGTGGCAGCTGGGCAATTTATCAATGGTACAAGCTGTATGGAAATGGTGAAATGTTCTGTCTACGTGTGTTTCGAAACAAACTGTTGTACTGCGTCGGCGGACAAAGAAAACACTTCTCTCATCTGTTATCAAAGTTGGAGATGAACAGCTATTTTGAAAAGCTGATGTGAAGAGCGTCATATTCCTTTATTCTGCTCTGACGCCAACGTTTACTTAAGTCACTTTGCTATTTCCAAGTTGACATTTAACTGCGATTTAACACACATAGGTGACATCAGCGTTTCTTAACTTCAGTGTTTTCTCGCCGAGTCGGGTTAATCTTAGGCCCCGTCCACACTACCCAGTAGGAATTTGAAAACGGAGGTTGCACTCTGAAAGCGCATTCAATGTTTTCCGTCCACACTACGCCGGAGGAATTTGAAAACGGAGGTTACACTCTGAAAGCGCATCAGATGTTCTCCGTCCACACTACGCCGGAGGAATTTAAAAACGCAACAATCATTCTGGATTTGTGTTTGAAGAAAATTCGGTCAGGGAAATCACATAATTTGCGTGACGTCGTCGTTTTCGAAAAGTTCTGTTTTCGATATTTTTTCTGTCCACACGAAAACGAAAAGCCGGCGTTTTTAAATTCTTGCGGTTTAAAGAGCGTTTTCGAGAAGCACCGTTTTCGTGACAGATTAGTGTGGACGGTAGGCCTAACCGTAGTAGATATAGAAATAAAGCTGTTTTTCGAATTCCTCCGGCGCAGTGCGGACGGAGCCTTAACTTTTCATCTAGAGCCAAAGCAAAACTTGCACACTGCACACTAGTGTTTTCTTGTTCTTATGCTTGCGCTTAGAGATCCCAAGGTGTCGAATGATTCAATTGGAAACTATTGAGCATTTCTGTGTGGTATAGCTTATTTACACTCTTGTGGTGGATCTTACTGTATCATCTAGAGATGAAATCTTTCTGCCGTGAAACAACTGCTAACATTGTCGAGATATATCTCAGAATCGGCACTAAATTTGATTGAAAACAACCAGTTAACATTCAACTGTTGAATATTTGAAAGGAAAAGGCTGAACTAGACCATTGTAAAGACTGCATCACCCTCACCCCTGAAGGTGTCTCGTGGCCTGTCGTGCTAATTTTAACTAGCTGTTTCATAAGAAACCCCAAAACATAAGAGGACAAGGCGACCTTCTCCTAACCTGTGAGAAGGCGTGGTCACGGCTACGGTTATTTCTGAAAATGGGGTAAAAAGGAAACAGAAGAATATATCGACCAGAGTATTTACGTTGGTCTCGATGAAACAAAAACCTTCCATGACCATTACATGTTAGTGTAGCACAAAATTGCAATCTCGTTTCGTTCCTACAAGATTCCATATTCGAAGTTTGAAAAAAAGAGCGATAATGCCGCTTTTTGTGTACGCAGCAAAGATACAACAAATGCCAACAGAAGCAGTCTATGAATTGGAGTTCTTTTTGATTTCACTGACCAACCAGGATGGATTTTAGTTTTGTTATTTGGACAGGACTGCTGTTTGTTGGTTCACGCCAAAAAATACGTAATTTTTCAATAAGGAAAAGTCAATTTCGCTAACTTACAATACACGATGGCATGCGTATACTTATCACAGGTTAAGCAGGAGTAGAAGCTTGATCGAAGGGAAACCAGGCTCGTGATTAAAGTACGTTCTCTCTGTGTTCCAGATCAATATTGGCTGGCTTCCTTTTGTGTAGGGTGGTATGCTGAACATTTATATACCAGGTTGACAGCATTTGCCTTTTGTTATTATTTTTTTAATATATTGTGTAGAGTAATCAAATTCTATGATGATCATTATTACATTTTGCCACTGAGTATGGGATAAATGCTGTTTAACAGACTAGCTACTTTTTTTAATTGTATACGTGTATAAGCTATATAATATTTGATGAATATGGTTAATGAATTTGGGTAAAATAGTCAATTGTGACCAGAATAAAATGGACACCTTTATCATTTGATAATAATGTGACAATGTTTAAACTATTTTGCTAACTAAAGTATTATAATTATTATAATTAATGCTACAACGTACACTTCACTTTCATTTTTTCAGAGTACGAAATTGTACAACAGCTTCAAAAAGCAGGCATTTCCTTGGATATTTGGCGACTTATGAAGCCAAGAGGACTTTAACTGTTAACTGCTGACAACATTAATCAATACTTGCTGACCATGGTTCTTTGTTCTAGATGTAAATGTACGTGTACATGAGTATAGAGTCACTGGCACTGTTCTAATAAAAATAACCATCATTCCATGCATTTTTTCTTCCTTTTCATTGGCCAAGAGCCAACCACATGACCTGCAAATAACTCCCTACATATAACGGTTTGCTCATGCGTAGTACCGTCTAAATGTGTTTAGCTGCAAATAATATTCTGCTCATGCGTAATTGTAACCATGATCTCTGGTGAACAATGGCAGATTGCTCCCTTGACCCCTGAGCTGTCAGAGAGTGATTTAAACAAGAAAGCAAATTTGGAGATCAAATGATAAAACAATTATTGAACCCGGTTATCACAAAATAGCATTATTTGTCAGTGTCTTGCAGATCAATTATTTTCCTCAGCCTTCGGCCTCAGCAAATAATTGATCTGATCTTCACTGACAAATCGCGATATTTTGCTCAACCTCGTCCAATAATTGTTAATTATTAAAAACCAGCCAATTATTAACTTATTATAAGCTATTTTTAAAGAAAATGAATTTGTGGACTACCTCCAAGGCTTAAATAGCAGCTATGTACACTGAAAAATGGTTCACACTTTTGACTCACACAAGCATGAACAGAAGCACAAGCAGAAGGATGTTCACACTATCAACATATGGATGCGAAGCACAAGTTACATCGATGGTTGAATTATTTTACGCCACTTCCCACTTGTGGTGCACACTAGTGTTTTCTTGTTCTTATGCTTGTGCTTATCTGACAAGTGTGAACCAGGCTTACAGTGAAAGTCAGAAAACCATGAACGCTTAAAGTATGTCTGGAATGTTTATCAAGTTTTAACCAATCATCAGCAAGATCTTCAACTACAGAAACCATAGAAAACAGATGTATTCCATCAATCACAGATCTATGAAACATTTAGTTTTTGGCTTTCGCTATGTCCCAAGGTACACCCTCTGTGTTTATATATCACTGAAAGTCTAAATACCTGCTATTATTTTTTCTCAAGCATCTGAGTGGGCTGGAATCCTAAATCATCGAATTTGATCGGCTAACCATACGCATGTAACCTGTCCAGCTTTTTATGATACGGCCCACAGGTCGGATTTTTTTCCCGTTGCCTAAAGTTTGCTCCAAAAAGTTAACAGTAGTCGTCAATCTTTTACCTTTTTTACACATCCATTGACAATTAGTCAACGCAAGTTTATCTCTGTTCCCTTTAAAATGGCAAGGAAAGTCGCTGTAAGTAAATTCAATTGAGTGTTTTGAAGTTGTGAGAGTTGCTTGGTTGTTTGTAGCTTGGCGCTGTAATGGCACATAATCCTGTCTTTCTCTCGCCGTAAAATTTGAGTCAATTTCAGTCGAGTTTACCTCTCTAATCGTTGCTGTATTTAGGAGAATTTCTGTGGAATACACTTAACGAATTTCCTCGCTTTCTGCTATTCAATTTACAGTAGAAAAGTCTGATTTCAAGTGATCTTAAAAGCAATGACTGACAGAAATTGTTTTTGTAGTAAAACTTCAAACTTCTAGCGAAATTTCACACCGCAGAAACAATTTTGGAGAACTTAACTGGCGAAATAAATGCAACTAACATAAATTAGTTCGCAAAAAATCTGTCTGTCTTTGTCTACTATCTGAGATACTCACTCGTTGCGAAGAGTATTTTACAAATCGTTAGTATACGGCGTGGAAGCCTATTCAATGACAAAGTTGCGTAAACAAACCCATTTGTAATCTGTAAAACCACTTGCTAGTGTTTAAATAACCTGTAATTCCAAGACTGATAGAAACTCATCTGTTTTCTGTGGTCTCTGTGGTTGAAGATCTCACTCGTGATTGGCCACAATAAACATTCCTGATATATTTTAGGAGTTCACGGTTTTCTGACTTTCACTGTAACACTCCGTTTATCCACAGCGCCCTTTAAAATTGAGACACATCCCTTCCCCATATAAATGTTCTCATCCAATCGAATGGCACCTGAAATCTCGACCTCCAACTGCCCAGCTTGGTGAAGTACACCGATCTCCAAAGAATCCATGACTTGAAGCCTTGCAACTTGCTTGTGGGAAAATCAGCCAAGCCCTGATAATCTCCAAGGTAAGCCAGCATGCCGATATTTTTCCAGGAGAAAGGCTCCACCTCAGAACCTTTCCCTTGTGCTATGAGTCCCAAGGACTTTGCCACATAACTGCCCTCACGTTCTGCAACTTGCGCAGTGCAGGGGTAGGGGCTGGTTTCAACAAAGGAGCAGTCACCAATGGCAAATATGGACTCATCACTGATTCCTTTCACCCTGAGAAATCGATCAACCAGTAGCTGACTGTTGCTGTTCTTTGGAAGATCCACTGAAGCTTGAAACAATAACTAATATAAATTTTAAAAGCTCAAACAGACTGGGAGGATGGAGTACAAGTACATTTCCACTATGATCCTCCCCCCGTCCCGTTGTTCATGTCAAAACCATTCCTTATTTGAGAAAGATCAGTTTGAGCACACATCTTATACCTGACATCTTCTCCTTCCACTTCTCGCTTAATATTATTTTGGCAATATCTATTTTAACCACTGGCAATATAGAGCAGGAAAAAAAATTGGGCCAGTAAATTTCTGTTTTCACTTACCTCCACTTAAACATTACTTGCTGACATGGCGGCCAGTATGGCAGTCAGGGAACAAACCTGAACTGCGTATGTTTGGATTCCTAACTAATCCATGCTTTCTAATCAATTTTTTACTACTCTTGCAGTCTCAAGTTTTGAAATGGCTTCTGACTGGAAAATATCATTAATTTATCAAGCTGACATTTTCATTCAGACTCACGTCAAGACTACTGAGGCTAACTTCACTTGCCCAGAGGGCCACTGAACTTCTATTTTCACCTGCCCAAAAACAAAATTTACTTGCCCCTAGCAACTGGATGTGGGTTTTTTCCTCCCTGCAATATTAGGGATTAAGGATCAATTCAACTTTTAAATGCTTTTGTTTCTTTTAGATGAAGAGTCCTCACTGGATGGATTACTATCCATGGGTGTTATAACCATTATCCTGAAAACGCCTGGCCCAGGTTGCTTGAAAGGTGGATAATGCTATCCACCAGATAAATCACTATCCAGCAAAGGAGGTGGTTTGTATTGTTAACACTTATCAACTGGATAGTGATTTTTCCAATGGATAGCCTTCTCCAGCCTTCGAACAACTGGGCCCTGATCTTTACTTAGGAAGGGTCTCTATTCATTGTTTGCAACACTCAACATCTCATGACATTTTGCCATTACACAGAAAGCTTATGTTTATAACTAGAATAATTTCTTCAAGGATTTTTTAGTCTACTCTGGTCAGACAGTGTTTAATTGATAAAAACTGTATGCCATTTTGGTGCCTCCCCTGTCTCTTTTGGCTTAACACATGATAGGAGAGGCATTTGAACCAACCCTTTAACATTGTATTGTTTAGTCTGTCATCTCCATAGCGCCAGCTGGCATAAAGGACGGCAATTATATTGTTTGCTTACCAGTAAATTGTCTTGGAGCGAGCCCTGTAGACCACACAACTAAACCACAGGGCATTATTGTCCCATCTTGCAGCCTGATGTGATCAGCATGCACTTCTGTCACACTACTTTGCACAAGATCAAACTGGTCCCTCTGTCTCATCTTTTTTTCTGCAAAAGTGCGGAGCTTTTCATCAAAAGATGGCAGGATCTGCCTTGCCTCGATCAATGTCACACTAACGTTAGCCTTCTCGTGTACATACAATCTTGTGACATCCTGTTTTACAAAGTCGTATAACTCTGCACCAAACTCCACCCCTGTTGGACCACCTCCAACTATCACAAAGTGTAGCAGGCGCTTCTTTTCCTCTTCAGCAACGCCAGGTTGCAAAGCCAGTTCGAAGTTTTTAAGAATTTGATTCCTAATCTGTCTTGCGTCCGCAATTTCTTTGAGAAAGAATGCATGTTCGTAAACTCCCGGGACGCCAAAGGTGTTGCTAATGGCACCTACTCCAATGACTAATTTATCGTACGTCAGATTGTATCGATCATCGTTCAAAGTACTTTTGCACACAATTGTGTGTTCATCTGGACGCAATTCCACGGCTTCTGCTAGCTGAAAATGGTGTTCGTCTCGAAATCCTGTGTTTCTAATCGGCTCTATGATGCTTCGAAATTCTAACGTTCCCACAGTTGTACTGCACAGCAGTGGCGTAAAAAGGAAGTGGTTGCGCGGACTGACAACGATAACATCAAACAGTTTCTTGTTGATTTGCTTCAGCACGCTGTAGCTGCCCCAACCGGTGCCTAAAATGACCAAGCGTTGTCGATTGCTTTCTTTCTCTGGCGTGCTTTGTAGCGAGATCGCATTCGTTCGAACGCTCCTGGTTGCCAGCAATCGAAAAAGGCTTAATCTAGTCTTGACTGAGATAAACATGATAGAAAACCGCTCACAAGGACCTACAATACACAGCGTTCGCCATCTTGAAATGATCTGTGTTCAGGGGTAGGGTGGGAACGAGAAAATAAATACAAATGTACACTTGTCGGGAGTGGGTGGGGGCAAACATTTTCGGGCTCGCAAGGTTAGGTTGGTCAACCTAAGTGACTGGAGCAGAACTAGTTAGTACTCCCCAAAGTTTTTGGTGGCGGGTGTGCGGCCCTAACATTGAAAACCCTTCCCATATCCGTATTTTCCCAATTTCCATCCCCTATTTTAGACTTGAGCCAAAAATCAATACCCCATTCCAGACCACTAATGTTAGTGCACGACTCTAACTCAGACCGCCACTAACCAGAAATGGCTTCTAGAAGGCCTAAAAAGTTGCCAATGATGAAGCGGAAGAGATTAGTCCCTTGTTAAAAAAAGTACCCAACTCCATAAGCTCCTGTCAATGCCAAGCCAGAGTGAAAAACATACCCTAATTCAGACCAAAACGGTCTAAATCTTTACCCTTTGTCAGACTAAAGCAGCTCAAAAACCATATCTTTTGAGACCGTCCAGTCCCTAAACTCTCCCTGACCCGCCCAAAATAGGGGTTTAACCGTGTCTCTTCTTTTATAGTCTATATGGAACGGGTAAAAAAGGTTTTAGGGCCGGAACTTTAGGTCAGACCTTAAGCTTGGTAGAGTCTTGGTAATATACACTGTACCTGACTGTACCCCAATACTTTCAGCTTGCGCATACGGTGCAATTTCCTCTCACGGGAAGGAAGTACTCAAGTATTAATAGACAACTACAAGATTGTTGCTTTGTTCCGGATATCGGACGCAGGAAGGGCATTGGAGATTTCAGCCTCACCCAATGTTGTAAAAACGTTTTTTTTTTTTTTGGCTCACATGCTTTTGAGCTCCTCTTCCACCCAATGGGGAGGTCGTTATTGAAATTTGGTGGAATCAATCACAATCTATCAGATTTCCACTCAGTCATGACTCAGTGCAGTCAGTCAGTAACCCGTCCTAACCATGTCCCAGCAAGAAACCCAAAAGGGTTTTTCTGATCTCACAATGTAGCATCAGCTAGCATCAAACGCCTCAAAGCGATCTTTGACCCATCCGTCCACTTATCGCTCCATGAGCCTCTGGTGTAATTTTATACTGTTTTTCCTGGTTGCTAATGAACTATGAATAAAAGCGAAAGTTCAAGAGAAAACAAAACGCGAAAATTCCCGCGACTCGCCCGCGGCTTTATTTGTCCGAGAGTGATTGACAGCTTTGACTACAAAGGGTACGTTTTAGTCTCTTGACTTCCCGTATGCTGAGAAGAAACTGTGGGGTTTTATTTTAGCAAACCATCGACGTTTTGGATTGTTTGCCAAGAGCTAATCTTTATTCAGATGTCCATCCATTCAACGAGGAAACTTTGATTGCATCTGATATTGTTTGAAGAAGGAGGACGGTGACTTCGATCGAGTATGCAAGAAATCATCTCAAGGTGACATTCGAAGGTAAGATTTCACCGCTGCAATGCTTTCATCGAACTTCTGAATGTGACTGAAACTTCACCGTTTTACGTTGTTAGTTTTCCTCCGATTTCTTCGCGAATTTGTCTACCTTCACATCATTAATTGGTGCAGAAGATGGCGGTTTTTCTATGCTAACCATCGGCAAAACTTCCATCATTGGTGCCTTCGCAAATGAAATCAAATTTTTGGTCTACACTCAGAGGTTCATCAATAAAGAATTAAGCCTATTAACTTTGACTACGTTAAGTGAATAATTTCAGCGTCAACGTCCAAAACGCTACGAATTCGTCGATTAAGAAGTCTTGAATTCCTATAGATGTGGTCTTAAATGAATGTGTTACTGTGTATTTTAAAAGTTGAAATGATGGATTGAATTTAGCTGATAAATATGTTATGGCTTTCAGCTTGTTTCTCGGAAGCTCTTAAAATTTGCATAACTAAATGCTTTGAGGTCTGTTTTCGCAGCTGGGCTGCAGCGATGTTCTCGATTTTTTGTATTTTTTCAAACAAACTGGGACGTAGAATTTGTCTTCCTCAGATCTGGAAGCTAATTGGTAGCAGCTATCGCGAGATATTAAGCCAACGCACGGGAAATGACTGAGCGAGTTAATTTGTGGTTTCTCCAGAAGTTTGGCTATAAAGGTTAGTGTTTCTTTCTTCAACCAAAATCAGACTACAGTATTCAAAAACTTTCTTTTAGCCCACTGGAATCCTGTAAATTGTTGCTCAACTTATTGTTTCCTTGTAATACGATATCAAATATGTTGCCTTGTTCAACAAGACTGGTTATGAGAATTAAAGAGAGACAAACAAACATTACTGTCTTGATAATATGTTATCAGTTTAAAAATTATGTTCTGAACGTTGGGCACTTTTAATTTCATGATGACAAATATTTCCAAAAATCTCATAAGAATGGAGCAAGATTTTCTGGTTGACTGTACTACCTGGAAGGAATTTTTTTCCAGTGAGAATTTTTGTCGAATGATATCACCCATAACCTCTGTAAGCTGGATTTAAAATGCTATTTCACTGATGTGTGAAACCTGACTGATAATTTAAGTAGGACAGAAGTTTGGCTCCGAGACAGTCTTAGTTTAATATGGCAAACAACATTAAGTCCAGCAGTCTGCTGCATCGTGCCAAGATTAGAGTGGCAGCTGATATTTCATACACCATGCTTCCTAGTGTGTGCTGAAGCTAGATTGCATAAATTATTGAAGTGTGTTGACAGCGTCCATGATCATGATTGGCTTATGACCAGACAAGAGTGGTGTGACTAGTCAAGTGTTGAGCTTGACAGGGCAGAAAAAGAAAATACTGCCAAAAAATTAAGTTGTGTATTCAAGCTTGCCTAATTAGCTGTCAATTTACATAAAATGGAACTGTGTGTTTTGAGAGAATATTTGCTAATCAGCGGTTATTAATTTGGCACTTTTTAGCCCAGCTACTATAAGATTTCGTATATAATTGATGTCAAAATACAGGTTGGAACAAATTATATGCTTTAAGTACTAAAGGCACTTGAACAAAGGAAGTGGGCTTTTAAATTTCATTTGTTCCCACTGTGTACGTGTATGTTTCGTTGGCATTATCCCCTTCAGAATTTGCTTTGGAAAATCAAATAAATAGAGCCCTGAGGCTCCTTGATTTCTGGTCCAGTGTACTAACTACTACATGTAGGTCACTGCTTTTCCAGCTCCAGTCCTTCCCTCTCTTCTTGTCTTCCCTCCCACTTCATGTGTTAAGTATCTCAACTTTTTTCTACTCAGGATCCTTTAAGAATTTTATGGCAGCTTGATGATTTAGCTACAGGTGTGCACAATGTCTGAAGAAGCAAGTGATGATACTGGTTGTGTCATGAACCAGGAAACTAATCCAGAAGAAAAATGTTCCCAAGAACTTTCACACACTGATGATGCAACTCCTGATGAGCTGTTTGAGTCGTTCATGGAGATTGCCAACAATCCCGAACTCCACAATGAACAGACAGACACACAGAAGGATACAACAGGAGAAACAATAGGGGCTTCTGTTCCTTGTGCTGGTGAGGTCAAAGACATCAACAGCGGTGCAAATGGAGAGAGAGAGACTGTCAGTGATCAAGAGATTATAAATGCTGTTTCTGATCCTTCTGTTTCACAACTTCCAGATTTCAATAGCAGCTCGGATGAACCGCAGACAGATGTGCTGAATGGAACAAATGATCAACGTGGAACAACGGAGACTGACAAGAAAAGTACTCCAAATGGAACACCTGATCAGAGTGAATCAACAACCAGAGAGATTTCTGATCCTATTTCTTCACAGGCTACAGATGTCAGTAGTGGTACTGGAGAACAGTCTATGTGTGCTCAAACAAGTAGTAATGTAGAGACACTTGATTCTACAGCATCGGACACTGCTGATGAGCACTTAAATTCTGGTGATAATGCTGTGCAAAGTGCCACAGAAGGACCAGTAGCAAGCAGTGAGGAGGTCTTGGCAAATCCTGTATGTGACGAAACCAAACCTGAGGAACTAAGCGCCCCAACTGCTAGTTTACAATCAAGTTCTGATATCACAAATGAAGTAAATAGAACTGAAGAACTAAGTTGTGGAACCAAAAATTTGGAAGAAGGGACAGAAAGCAATGACGTAGGAACAACTGATAATGAAGTAATTTCACCTGATTCAGCAGAAGTTGATGTTGTCTGTGCTGTTTCTTCAGATGATAAAGAAGAGGCCTTGAGTGAAAATGACCCCAGTACATCTAAAGCAGATGTTGCCAAGAGGTTGTCAAAGGCCATGATGGATCTTGTAGGCCTAGAGGAGCAGTTGTCCTCAGCTGTGACAGAGATGAAACGATCAAACAGTGTAAAAGGTTCTGCAGAGAACAGCGTTGGAAAAGAATTTAATGCAATTGCAGAGACTCCGGAGGGTCAGACTCTTGAGAATCAAATGGATGGACAGGTTGCCTCTGACACCACTGTCATGGACACTGCTGAGACAAAAGTGGCGGATGAAAGAGTAGTGAATAAAGGTGCTGCAGATGAAGAATCTAATGTCCTGCCTGTCCAAGAAAATGATGTAAAGGCAGCTGATGGTGAGACAGATGTAGATTTAAATGCAGTCACTGTTCACTCGGGTACTGACGAAACTTTGGTGGAAGATACTGACAAGATTTGTAAAGATGCAGTACCTGTAGATAACATCCATAGTGAGAGCAAGGGAACTGAAGTGGATGTTGTAGAAGTACAGGAGATTAAAATGGAAAACTCTGTGTCAGATAATCAAGATATACCAGGTAATGAAGATATACCAACTAATGAAGATACAAAAGTTGAGAGTAATGAAGTGGGTAAGAGTGAAACATCTGATGCAGAAGTAAACACTGGACACACAGTCGATGAGAAAGAACCATTGTGCACTGAGGAATCACATGGAGAAACAATAGCTAGGGATTCTAATAATGACACAGAAGAGAAGTCAGATTGTGTGGATAAACTTGACATGGAAGTTGCAAAGGCTTGCACACCTATACCTGACATTGAAGTTACTACTGATGAAAGTGGAATTCCAGAGAATAAAGGCCTGGATTCCTTGGACAATGAAGGCAGTTCTAACATGTCAGAGGATGGCATTGATTCTGACACACCTTCTGATTATGGTGATGATGATGAGGATGGCACATTCGATCCTGACAGTCATGGAGCATCTAGAAAGTCCTGGCACCTAGAAACAGACCGGGATCGCTTGTCATCAGACTCCTCAACTGTTTCAGAGAGGGACTTCAAGGAAAGTTTTGACAAAGGTGATAATGCAGATGGAAAATCTCCCAAAGATGGTGAGTTTTACTGATCACTTGTCCAATTTTGTCAACCCTTGATAAGTCATTTTTGTGTGTATGGATAATATCCCTGGGAACAAATCATGCCATTTTCTTTCTATGTGTAAATTTCACACACCATCACAGGGGTTTCGATGAGGTTCGATTCAGGGACCAGGCAAATTAACCGGCTGTTAGGATGATTTTGTCTGCATCTTGTTTGACAATTAAAGGATCTCAAGCAAAGTTTTTCTGATAAAGAAGTTCAGTTCAAAAAGTTTTGCCTGCATGTGAAAACCAGTTGCCATCCTACTGGAAACGTTAATGAAACCTCTGCCATCTCCTACATGTATAGTGAACTGAGTTACTACATTCAACTTATATGTGGTTTTACGTCTTGCACTCATGATCACTACTGTGGATTTGGGTAAATAATGTTTGTGTGTGACAAGTCAAGTTATCTGCTTTCCCTTGAGCTTGTGTGTGACAAGTCAAGTTATCTGCTTTCCCTTGAGCTTTCCAAAAAGATTGCTTCTGGCATTAGCGCCATTAAACGTATTAGGTATTCGGTCCCATATAAGACTTTACTTTCCCTTGAGTTTGTGTGTGACAAATCAAGTTATCTGCTTTCCCTTGAGCTTTCCAAAAAGATTGCTTCTGGCATTAACGCCATTAAACATATTAGGTATTCGGTCCCATATAAGACTTTACTTTCCGTTTACAATTCATTAGTGCAACCTCATCTCGATTACTGCAGTTCGGTGTGGGGATCCTGTTCTAAAACTCTTTCTCAAAAGTTACAAAAATTACAAAATCGGGCAGCACGCGTCATA